ATAAATAAAACACTCATGTTAGGACTAACAGGTACAAGCAGTCGGTAGGACAAAATTCACATATATTGTAGCATACGGATACCAGTAGTTCTGGAACAGGGTATCTGTAGCATTACAATAAGATACTTCAGCATTTTGCTATTTGTTACTCTCTAGCTGCAAGACATGAATTCATGGGTAACTGTGAGAAGAAAAATTAGTGATGTATTACTTTTATTAGAGCAAGATCTATCTCTGGGGCAGTGTGTTCTTAGTGTGAATTAATATATCTCTTTGAGGCTTCTTGTGTTTCCAGGAGCTTAGTTTTACTACTCGTGTTCTCTCAAACCAGGAACCCTACCACTGCTGTTTAATAACTGTGCAGTGTGGCAAGTCATTTTTCAGAGAAGAGTGAAAATGGAAATGAAGTCACTGGGGTTACATCAGCAGTGAATTTGTCTCAAGGCAGCAGTAGGGAAATATTTCCAAAAGTGGAAACTTATCTGTGATGATTTTATTCTTGTTAATCTACTGGAAGAATAGTTTGCTCTACTGTTTTGCTCTGAAGGCAAAATCTGTCTTAGAGCAGCCGTCTATCAGTTTGACCCTATTAAGGAAAAATTTACTGAATTAAGTAATGCAGACATGTACTAAGGTGTGTTAATGCAACCTTATCATGCAAAGAAAAAGATGTTAAACCTGCACTGTTCAAACATTAAGTAAGCAAATGTTATCATCTTGGAGTCAAAGATTTATTGTATATTGCTAGCTTGACTGATCTTGTCCTCAGTACAAAACAATGATGGAAGTCTTACCTTAGAAAAATAACTTCAAAATTTATAGTGTCAAGAAAATCCTAATCCAAGCACCTATAAGACAACCCTTTTCTCATGATACTACTCCAAAATTATGTATATTTAATGTCTCTGTTCCTTCCTTTATGGGTAAAATTGAGGCGATAAATATAATTTTTTTTTCCTTGTCAAGCTGATGGTTATGTTTAATCGTATTATGTAAATCCTCTTAAAAAGTATCAAATCAGTTTTGGGTCTTCTAACGTGTAATGTTGCTCACATAAAAATCAATTTATTTGTAGATCAAAGGAGTTCTCTATGAACCCTGATGAAAATTAACAATGCCATTTATTTTTAGTATCATTTTCACACACATTATCCCCTCTTCTCAGGTTCCTCATGAGTCCTCACTTCTGCAGCTCAGTGACGCTTCTTCCGAGTACGTGCCGCAAGCTGAATTCCCCAGCCTTCCTACTGGTAGTGCTAGATAAAACCTTGCCGGCGTTGCAAGACTAGTTTTTATTACACATTTCAGTCTGCTTTCAGCAGAGGTGCTTAACGCTGAAAAAAAGAATTCTAAATGCAGACACGCCATGGATGATAACATGCAGTCATGCCCAAGCCGAGCAGCACATAGCAGTAGCTTTGCTTTCAGTGGCATCACTTCACATCTACCTGACTCTGAACTAGAGCAGGATTTCATATATCGTTAATGCTAAAAAGCCTGACGCTCCTCTCCTTCATGCCTATTGCAAAACAGCAGGAACATAATTGAAAGAGTAGAAGTTTCACTGATGTCTGAAAAATTTTCCATGTGTAAATGTGATATAGTAGTATATTAATGAACTAGAAATATAGGTTTGTAAAGCACCACATCTGCAATGCAATCAAGTTACTGTGGAATGTTTTCTGTAGTATATAGCAAAGGCCTTAACTTCAAACTTACATGACTTAACTCTATATTAAAGCAGATTTACTGCTTTTTCAGTATGAGGCCATCTACTTTGAATTAAATTAAATTAATCTACACATTTTTACGGCTAAGATGTTTTTGCTCATCCCAAGTGTATTCTAAAATGGCTAACAATGTCTTCAAAATACTAAAACCACAGAAAATAAGTTAACTGTTGCACTTGTTGGTAGATTTTAGCACTAACTACGTAAAGAGTGGCATAGTCATACCCTCAGCTTGCAGCTGGGTTGCTGCCTTGTTGGGGTGAACCTAGGGGACAAGAGCGTGAGCAGTGCTTTCTGACTGCACGCTCGGTTGCTCTTTTGCGGATGTGTGAGTGGCTCTGTTGGAGGTGGGAGCTCTTGCTTTGGCTGCACCTTGGGGACAGGGCAGGGAGGAGGAGGCCTGTCTCCGTCGTGTGGGATGCCTGGTGGGACTGACGGCCTGTCATTATCATTAGGGGATTCTGCACTCTTGAAATGAGCTTGCACAGCTGCCACAGCTGCAGTACCCCGCCTACATTTTACGTCTGCAAAATGTGCACTGTGAGTCTTTGGACACTTTCTATCCAAAGGCCATGTTGATGCAATATGTAGAAAGAAACCAAGAAAACTCAGAATGTGATTTAGATTAAATATGTAGCTAATTAAGAATTGAATGGTATTACTGAGTTGGAATTGCTACAGCTGCTCAGAATACAGGGATGCTGGACTGTCCCAGGGTTATATCTTATTTTTAAAAAGTCTAGCTTACTGATCAGTTTGGAGTGCCTAATACTGATTTGATCTTCTCATGCTTTAGTTAAGCATGTGCACAGCAGACGTATTAGAACTGCTGAGCATTAACATATCCAGAATGCTTGTATCATATTTGATTGCATTTATTTTAGTTTTGAGCTTTTCATGATAGCCCCAAAACCTTTGCTTCTTATTAGAAGGAGCTTTTGCGTCTAGGCTTGTGTGTCTATGGGTGTGAATATCTTTGCCTGGAGTACTAGGCTGGTTCAAGGAAAGAAATCTGCTTGGGGCAGCTATCCAGATTTTTTTATACTCCCAGCTAAGGAGCAGAGTCTTTGGCTGCTAAAGGAACGATCATGTGGCTCCATCAGAAGACTGAAATTGCGAGATGCTCTGTTGTAGTTTATGTTAAGTGAGATACTAAAGGAAAAAGGAACGTTGATCTCTTCCGGATATGTGTAAAGAGTAAAGCAGAACATCTTACTGAGCTGACTTATGTATTCATCTATAGTCATGTCCAGTGGTTGAAGCTGCATTAGAAGGATAAAGGCTACAACAAATCAGGTTTTACATTTTTTTTTTTGATAGAAAAGCTTGGTTAACATATGCTCATACTCAAGTAATTACTGTAAGTGATAAGCAACTATTAATGTTTTAGAATTACATAGAAGAAAGAGATGTAAATGTAATAGTATTTCAGGCTGTTCTTGAAAGGTGTTTCATGTGTTTGTAGGGGGAAAAATAATTCAGTTTACACAAACAAAAAACTTTTGGAAAAAAGTATAAACATGCACTGCTGTACTGCATGTGGTATCAACATAGTAGTGTTGAAAGAACTAATAATGTAAAGAGCTGATTAAATATTAAATGCAAAGAAATAAAAATGTTTAAACACCAGAATTGTATCTGAATTGCAGTACACGAATAAGATTTAAATCCTACTGCACACATTTTGTTGGTAATGTTTTGCTTTTTATAATCAGGAATGTTTCTGCATGATATAAAGTGAGTAATTCCTAAGGTCTCACATAACCACGGAATTAATTTGATAGTCTTTGGGTTTAATATCCCGGTACAGAGATTTGGGGTTGTCTCTGGGCTATCAATATCCTATTCCAAATGACCGGCTATATTTCTACCACAGCAAGCAACATTTTGAGAAGTAAAAATAATTTAACATTTGATAGTTAAAAAGATGTGATTTTCCTCTTATTCCTCCTTTCAGATATGGACACACAACTGAATGTATGACTTGAGAAAGAAAATTTTTAATACGTACTCGTACTAATTTATCAGAACTTTTAAACGCTATCAAAAAAATCTCTGATTATATTATCATATTATGTATAATAATCATACCTGGTTGTATTTCATTCATGAAATGTGATGTAGATTAGGTTACTAATTATATTTATTTTTCTCAACTTTCCTGTCTTTCTCTTCCTGAATGATACACTCTCATGATGATTGCTCTATGCAAATCCCTAGTACAGCTGCGCTGAAGGTGAATCAGAGTTGTTTCACTGACCTGAGCAACCACTTCCTCGGGCCCTTCCCCTCTCTGTTCTTATCTATCTTCAGCATAATGAAAGATCGAGTTGCCATTTTACAACAGTGGTGACCCTCCATAGGTGATGATGCGAGGCTCCTCATATATCAGTCGGAACTGCTCATCCGTCACTTTCACAAGCATTATATTACTTTCAGGTGCAACTTTTCAAAAAATTCTTTGTTCATTTAAACATGAAAAAAAAGTAGTAATCACAATATTTCTTTTTCATATCTTCAGTTCAGCGTGACCATCTTAAAAATGCATTGCTCCTTTCGTTTCAGAAGATTTCAAGTTCTGGCAATTAGTGTTGTATAAAGTAACTCCTACTAAATATCAGACAGACTATTTCAGAAGGGCTCGCCTTCTGGTCAGTACCATGCATACAACTAAGCCTGAGCAGAAAAGTGCAGTGGCAGCTATGAGCACTGAATAAGCAATAAAGTCAGAGAAGCACTAAGAAACCCATTTAAATTACTGCACATAATATAGAATTAATCACGTACAATGAAACTGGTCCTTCAGGGAAGACTTCCCCACCAGGAACAACAATTTTCTTGGCTTTGCATTCGCTGTAGTGCTTTTAACAACTGGTGCGCGTTTTATTTATAGTAACTTGAGCTATGAGTTCTTTGATGGGGGATGAGGACATGCCAAGCTCTGTAAGTTGTGATATCATTCAGGTTATCTTTATAAATATACTTGCCTTTACTGTCATTGTTTCATTCTCAGAAAGACATGATGTAGCCCATACCTGAATTTTCCAACTGATGTAATATGGAAATACTAACAGAGTCCCTAATGTGTGAAATGCTTGGACGTGTAGTTGTGTAAATGTGGCTTGCTACAAAATAATACCAGTAGCCGATTAGATTAAATGACATAATGAAAATGGTGCTAGTAGGGTGTGTGTGTTTTCCCTGTGCTTCTCCATCACCCCTTTTTTTAGTGTATCTTCTGAATTGTCCCTTCATTTTCTTTCAACAAAGGCAAGTATGCCATGAGGGATCTGGTCCACCGACTGCCAGGCGCTAACAACAGCAACAGCTCATCAAGCAAGGCCATGTCTGATGACACCGTTACTGCCATTTGCTGCACTCTGCATGAAGTCATCACTAAAAACATGGAGAATGCCAAGGCCTTACGAGACGCAGGCGGCATTGAGAAACTGGTTGGCATATCTAAGAGTAAAGGAGACAAGTATGTTTCACAAATCACCTTGCACCTTTTGTAACCTCTCCAGTAGTTATCATTAGTGCTGAATGTGTTTGCCTCTTCCGTGCAATCATGAGTTCAATACTGTAGTTCCATAAGAGACCCAATGCCCAATGTGAAAGGTGGCAAGAAACGGACAGCGTCAGTAGTAAAAGTCTCTGCTGTGGTTTATTTGTGACCTACTTTCAGCAGTTATGTGCAGTTTAAGGAAGAGTAACTGTTAAGAATAACTGCTGCTTCTAAGCACTTCCAGCAGATCATTATAAGCGTTAGGTATGAGGCATTAGGTACTAGAGCTGTCACATCCGCTCTGCAGAAAGTGACATGCAGGTGGAGGGATCCTTTGAAAGGAAGGAACCTCACACAGGTTGTGCTACTGCTCCACTAGTTTGGAGCACGAAGAACGTAAAGTCGCTGTCCCTCTTTCCAGCAGCCTTCTCCCAGCCACTGGCTTGCTGGCAAGGTGGGGTATGTTAGAAAAGTGGATCCAGGCATTTTCCAGACAGCTTGCTTCTGAGAGAGCATTACAGTATCTGCAGGCTACTTTATGAGGCTCCAGAATATGCAGAAGTCTTACACACAGCTGGGACATTTTCAGAGGAGCTATGGTTTCATCTCGTCTGTTTTCCTGTGTACACACTCTGCATGAAGAGTTCACTCTTTATCCTTCTTTTGCCTAAAACATATGCCTGGTTCTCGTGTTTGTCAGCCTGCAGAAGTGTAGTGCAATGGGACTAGGCCAGTTTGAAAGCAAAAAGCCTTCACTGTAGGGTACAAAGGCTCCCACCAGTCCACCTCCTTGAAGCGGTCAGCACACAGTCTACTGCAGCACTGGAGCTCTGAAAGAGCCCCACAAAGTCAGGCCGCAACCTGGAGGAAAGATATATGCACTCTGTGTTTGGTATGAGAACTTACCCTGGCCTATGTGATCGGAGCATTGCCAATATAGTTTAATCACCTTTCTTTTCCTCTGTTGTCACTCTTTCTTTTCATACCAAATTCATTACTGAAGCATTCTCACTGTAAGGGGTAAGAAGTAACATCATAAGAAAACACGTGATTCCAGTTGTGTGAGCTCCCGTGCTCTGCTAATTTACTTACATTGGCGCTTTTTTCATGCTTAAATCTGTTTAAAATTTGCTCTATTTTTGCTAGATCAAATGTACTGATATTGAAAGCAGGCTCATACCCATATCTCTTAAGCTGAATGTTTCTTTTTTCAGAATACTGCCTTTTTCTACCTGTACATTATTTGGCAGAGATTAATAATACCTGTTGAGTTTGGAATTTTAAAAGTATCATGGGCAGTTTTAGGAGGATCAAAGTGTCTAATTCCCTGTGTAAGTGTACCTGACAAATTTGAAAGACATACCTATGCTGAATGACAGTATTTGGCCACCCAGTTCCAAAATCCCTCCAAAATCAGGATACTTGTCTCTCCTTTAAAGTACTTTGAATTATAGTCATGCATTATTGCTACTAGAGGTTACACAGTTCTAGAACAAGAAAATCTGTCAGTCCATGGTGATACAAATGTTCGCCTTAAACGAGAATTTTGTTTTCACCTTTCAGAAATGTTACTTTTTGGCACCATTATTTTGGTTTGATTTCGTATAGAAAATCAATTATTTAAAAATGAAAATCACTAGTCGGTGATCTAATAGGAAATACTGGCATACTCAATTTTACAACCCTTTAAATATAACTCTAACTTACTTGGAATGAAGCATCTGTTTCTGCTAGTGCAGAATAGGAGCCTGGCCTTGCATCCTCGTAGGAGCGTAGGACCAAAGCCGATCAACGCCAAGCCGGGCAGAGCTGCCCAGCTGGCCCTTGGAGCATGCCCAGGGCTTTAGCGCTTTCTCTGTATGACAGCGTGATAGAACTGATGTCCCTAAGCTCGTACTGGCCAAACCTAGGGCTTTTCCAGGTTCCTGTTTCTCCTCAGGACTCATAGCAGGATTGGCACCAGTATCTCCCTGGTTGCTCCATGCTACCAGCACCCCGCTAGCCAGTACAGCTGGGAGCATAATGGAAATGATTATGCTTGAAAGTGTTCAGCAAATTCCTATTTATTCACCAATTACCCACCCACTGCTGTACTCTGGGTGAGAAATGAGGAAAAAAAGTACCAAATAAATTACTAGGAGAATACTGTATAAGTTAATTGAATCAACTATGTTATGAACATTATTTTACAAGCTCTGCTGTCAGTGAATCTGTGGCCTTCGCAGAGGCCACAGAATATAGCAGGACCTGACTCATACCAAGACTTGCTACCCAAATCAGTAACATATGTTGCTGATTTTCTAGTTTCTGTTTGGTTTTGCAATCCTTGCCTTTTTATGAGTAAAACACAATCATCTCAATGACCACTCCAAGCTTTATTAGTCCTCACTTTAGGCTCTGGTCTTTTCAAGGTTTTCTAGGGCTCTGCTGCTTTCTACATATTACTGGAACAGCATGAGGGCTTGACTACCCAGTGTAGGCTCCCCGAACCGCCTGGGCTCTCCTCCTTGTCCTTCCCTTTTTGACCCTTCTTCACTGAGCTGAATACTCCCTGCATTTTTTTTTAATATGTGTATTACCTATCCCAAGAGGAGTGTATGATTCTAGCTGTCTGAAATAGTTCAGAGCTTCCTTGAAAAGTTTTCTGAAGAGAAAGTCCATGTGAAGTTATATATGTCTCTTAACATGAATGATTGCTGTCATTCATGTGTAATAATGTGTGCAAGATACAAGTCCAGAATTGGCTTCCAGCTGAAATTCATGATGTCTGTGTATAATCAGCTGCATCTTGAGCTGCATTGGCAGCTGCAAACACAGTGCTCATCACCCATCTGGTGTGTTTCTTCTGGCCACTGGTAAGAGGCGCTGGATGCTTTGAGCACTCTGCCATGACTTCAAGTTTGGCAGTTTACAGCGAGAGAAACTCTGGCTATAAATTCTTGTTCCTTATGCCAAAAGTTGTAGTCAGGACGTCTTCACAGATGTACTTCATACCGCTTGGGTTCTCAACAATTTTCTGTTGCTGCCTCTCCCATTCCTCTTGGCATGGTCTCAACGTGAGTCCTTGTTCTCGGTGTTCTGAGGAACATACATATTGCTCCTCACTGGATAATTAGTAATATAGAAATAATATATATTATTCTTCCTTAAAAATATGTAAGATGCCAAAACAAAAGATCTTATAGTACTTTGATAGCACAACTTTAATTGTGGGTTTAAATCCATAGCAATGCATCTGAAAATTGGAGTCTTGTGCTTGCTTAACAGTTTCTTTCTCACTCTTTCTCTCTCTCTCTCTCTTTTTAACATATGTATATAACAGGCATTCGCCAAAAGTGGTGAAAGCAGCATCTCAGGTCCTCAATAGTATGTGGCAGTACAGAGACCTGAGAAGTCTCTACAAGAAGGTAAGGCTTGGGTTTTTTTCAGATTTGTCATTTTTCATACGGTTACCCAAATTTAGGGGCTGGGAGACTTCAGACCAAAGCATTTACGTGAACTGAAAATTCACCTAGAGTTTAAAATGTTGGATACCTGAAGCGGTAGGATTTTTGTCTCCCATTTCTACTTTTAACATAAAAATAGCTTATAAAAATGTATGGTGTTAAAAAAAAGAGAGTTGTGAATTTGGTTTTCACGTGAATTTTGACAAAAAAAAGTGCTGAATCTGACAGTCCTGGAGAGTGAAGTCCTCTGTTCGCCAAACGAACCTGTGCGAACTCTCTTACTGTACCTTTCCCACTTCTGCCCCCCCCACCCTGCCCTGGGGATATTGCCAGATTTTCAGCCTTTCAGCTCCCAGATTTCCTCATGGAATTGCCAGCAAGAGTACCTGAGGGAGCAATGCTTGGGGACCAGTGTACAAGTGGAGCTGGATTGCAACTTGTTAGCTTCACTTTCAATCAGCTGACAGATACACTTAGTTTTGAGACAGTCTCTAGAGAACACCATACCAGTCCCACAAGCCTCCTAGCCTCTTACATATGAATTGCAATACTGGTGATATGATCCTGTGAAGCAACATCCTATAGCTGTTTAAAAATAAATGTCTACTTACTAAATGACAACATATCAAAATAGTTCTTACAGAATATTTACCAACAGAATCACATGGCAGTATAACCATCAGCCTGCAGACTTAGTTCTCAAAGGTCTTTTAATGACATGGAATTTCACAGCTATCTAACTGATAATTTGTTACCTCGGCAAATATACCTAAGACTTCATGTGGTGCAGAAATTCATGTCCTGGCTAAGAGTAAGGCATAAGGATGGTGAAATGAGGAGAAGTTCACAAGTGGCATAGTCTGTGCTTATATGTATTTTGCACAAGAAAAGAACTTAGTTACGGGAAATGTAGGCACCAAATAAATCTCAGGCTGGCTCAAGCTGTTCTTTGGTTTGAAATGCTATTCTTTTGCATGCTTCCACCCCTGCTTGTGTCAGCCTGACGAATAAGGAAGACAATTATTAAGCCTCTCCCACTGCTCGCTTCCAGTAGCTTCAGTCACCCCAACAGCCCTAGGGATACCTTATGCACAGGCATTCCACGTAAGGAGATGGAGTGCAGCTGTCCCACTAAGAGATGGGAGCGCACATGAGCTAGAGTAGGCTTTTTTGGGGGGAGTAACATACTTGTGCGCATAGCTCGCCTTCTGTGCGGGTGCGTGGCTGCACGGTAGAAGTTGAACTTTATTGCACCTACATCTCTTAGAGGTTCTTGCAGTATCTCACTGATTTCCAGCCTTTTGGCTATCTATGTACGCAATGGAAAAGCAGTTTCTGGGGTTGCTCCATGCATGATGTAATCTATAAATTGTATGGCTTTTGGGTAAAATGCTACGTAGAGAACATTCTGTTAGCTGCCAAAGTGAATGTGCCTGGTGGTGTTCTTACGTTTTAGGCACGCTTGGGTACTCACTACCTTGTATGCTTGAAAGAACATGTTCTTAGAGCACGAATGTTCCAGTAGTTTCCTTAATTTAAGATGCTCCTGTTTGTTGAAAGACATAGAATAATCTTTATGAAGTCATAATATTTATTAAACTTGTATGTAGTAGGCTGATTGTTATGCTGGATGCCTGTTGCTACTGTTGGGAAAAGAATGTTCTTTTAATAGGAAAATTACAAAACTCCATTTTACCAGTACTGCAGCTGGTTATGTAATATAAATGTACTTGGTCAATACGATCTGTATTTTGTCCCATTAAAATACTTAGGTCAGTAAAAATGAGTGAGCATACAGCTGCTGTAATGTGATCAGCACTTTGCACTATCCTGCACTTGCACAGCCTTTTTTTGAAGTGCAGGTAAATCCCGTTGCTTAACTATCAGCAATTTCTTCATATATCCTGAAATATCTGTACAATTACTTTCAGAGAATTGGTGGCATTCAGAGAAGCACAATTTTGTACTGTAACACAGCCAAATGACAAGTATCACAGAAGAAGCAGCAGCACTTACTTACCTTTTGCCATTTGGGGAACAGTGTAATCAAATAGTTTGAACTGTGGTATGTTTTAGAGGTATGTGTTTACAGTAGAATAGATAAGGAGAGATGACTACTAAAAGTATTATCCTTTCTATTAATGAAGAAAGAAAATGATACATTTACTGCTGGTACAATAGTGGTCATTGTATTTAGTCCAAATGTATGACTGTATCAGAAGAACATGACTCATGTACTTTTCTAATTTTGCTCAACTTTACAAGCATCATCTGTCATCTCTGGCAGAATATAAACTGCACTGACAGAAAGTTCATCCAGAGCTGAGGACCGGTGTGGTAAGTCACCTTATGACTTGCCACACCTGTGAGAGGACCAAAAGCCAAGTGCCTAGGCACCAATTTCCTACTAGGAGCCCTCAAGCAAAGTCCTGGCTGTAAAGTGGAGATAATTGCAGGAGTCAGGAACTAGTCCCCCACCTGCTGCCATTAGCAGAGTTACCCTAAATACGGTATCAGATGCTTCCTGCAAGCTCGACCCTACCGTGAGTGGGCAAGCTCTTCAGCTTTAACTAAGGCTGAAGGTAAAGCCTTAGTTTCTTTAACTAAGAGCATTACATAGGCATATGAATGTTGCCTATGTAATGAAACGTAAGTTAAACAGCCTCTAAGAACACTGTCAAAATCAGCTGTTGCGTTAAAAAATGGTCAAAATTAAAATTGGCAGATTTCAGGGTGTCAGTTTCAGCTAAGACATTGCTTAAAAAGAATAGTAACATGCCCAAATTTCATTGTGCCACTCAGTGTCTGACAGACATGGCTTGTTTTTCTGGGCCATTCAGTGCCAGAAACTGTAGCAGCAACTGCAGCAGCTCAGTTAACCTCATTGACCAAATCAAACAATATATCCTGTCTCAAGGTGCTACTGTATTTGGCTAAGAATACAAAGAATGTCTTTTGACAAGATAAAAATGTAAGGTCTTATCCAGCTTTTTTACTCTGCAAAAATGCAAAACTATTCCACAAAGAAGAGAAATAAAAGGAATAGAAAAATACATGTGGTAAGCCAAGTTAAGCTAGAGATAAAAGTGTTTCTGGGAGGTTCAGGCTAGCCCTTGTGCTGTGTTCAGATAGAAAGGCAAAGAGAGCGTGCGGAGCTAACCCTGCAAGCAGTGGAGCTCCAACAGCCAAAGCTTGGGGTCCTGGTGCCCACGAACTTCTCTGCAGTGATCTAATTGAGCACCCAGTGAAAGCAACGAGAAGGCCCTGTTGGTTTCGTAGGGCCTTTTGTAAGGCCTCAAAAGGAAGATTTGGAGTTTTTGCAGCCGGTTGAACTTTCCTGGGCAGATAGGCTGAGCAGTCTGCAGCATCTGGTACATCCTTGGATTCCCAAGAGGCTATTAAAAAGTTTCTGTGTTACTTCTTTCCAGTTGCTTGCAGAGCAGTAACACTGTGTTCATTTTTTAATAGTTAATGCAAGAGCAGTTGCACTTGTCTTTGAGCTGTTAGTGTTCCTTCTCAATTAGCTTTTGATTCTCTAAAAGGCAAGCTCAGGTGGAGACTGTAGCTGTTCTGGCTCAGCTGAGAGAATGATGGGGAGATTTCTAACTTCCCACAAGTTGAGGTGCCGTTGTTAAGGAGATGTTTGCTCTGTTGTCTCGGTTTCTGCCCAGAAAGCTCCGTAAGCCCACAACACCTCATGCACTGTGTTTGCAGAGTTGCGTCATGCTCTATACACACCACCACCATGTTCGAGGATTTCCAGTTAATAGCTGTGTAGTGACTTTAATGGAACATACAGACTTTTCAGACCGAGCTGGAATGGAAGAGGCACAGAGGGTAGATGTCAAGTCAGCGTTCAGGTCTGTGAGCAAGGTGGCACTGTTTGCCATGCACTGTAGGCTTGTGCTTTGGAAAAACAGAGAATTTCACTCTCTAGTATGGTTAATTTGGCACAATTCCAGCAAAGTCCGGCAAGAAAAAGTTATTAAAAGCATAAATGTTTCCGGTTGCTAACATTAAAGAAGAAAGCCTGACAGAATAAGGTAAAACAATGAATGTAGTCTTGAGGTGAAGGAGTTGTCAGCCATCCATCACTTGGGACCCCTCAAATGTCAGGGGTCTCTTCTTCTACTCTGCAGCAAAGTTACTACTCTAATATTTTGTCCTAGTTGGCCAGTTCCCAACTTTATCTGCAACTAATAGTATTTCAGGAAACCAGGGAGCGGTAACAAGCCGTTAGTTATTAGCACAATAAGAAGGAGAGGGAGAAGTTCAAAAAAGTGAACATTTCACTGTGCTTCTTAAAGCACTTGAACTCCAGTCTCTAAATGAAAGATTCATGGTCCTTCTCCTGTCACTCTAAATCTTGAAAAGTAAAGATCTTTGTTTTCCCGTGTAATTTTTTTGGCGGTGGGGGGGGGTCTTGTTTTTTGAGGAGACGCCTGAGAGGTTTAACTTGGAGATATTTCATCAGGGAAGAGTTCACAGGAAATAGTGTTTAGTTAGCTGAGCAATGGCTGAAACAGAAATCTAATCTGAAAATTTCCCTCCAAGAGGAAACCATGTTCAGTCCCGTATAAACAGTGTTTAAATGGATCAATGTGATGAATTTTTAAATACTGCTAAAGCTTTGCAAAGAAGAAAGAAATGATCATAGTTTTCATCAGCAGATGAAATATTTTCTCCCTAAAACTGACTTAAATGTAATATCATTTTCAAACTTCTTTGTTCCCTATGAATAAGATTTATATTTTTGTAAATGATCATTTATTTTATCGGTCTCTATTTCGGGGAATCCATTCTGAAATGCTCAAAACACAACTTTCAAAAGTGCTTAATGGTCACCTTGTTCACTGGTTGGGTCAATGGTGCAGCACTTACAAAAAAAACAGGTAGGGGAGCTGTCTAACTTGTCCCACAGATGCCTGGTACACTGCTCCTCTTCAAGTATCTTGGTAAACCTAGTCAGTGAGAGAATTAAATGCTGCTTATAATGTCCCATTATTTGTAGTCACCTAAAGAATGTGAAAGGAGCTACTATGGTGATTCTTTAAGGACGTCTCTTTCCAAGTGAGGAACACTGGGTCCCACTCCAGTCTCCAGTGTCTTAGCTGATTAAAAATTTGGGGACACCTCGGAAGATGTGGCTATGACTGTAAGAGAGCAGATTTCCATTAGCCACAGATGGTAGATGCTGTCTTTCTCGGAGTTCATGAAAATAGCCAACTGCTCTTAGCCACAAATAGCTTGTTAAATTGCATGAGGAAATATACACATGAAAATATTACCAAACCCGTAAGCAAAAGGGATGGGCAAAAAGGGGAACTAAATAAGCTAACCTGAAAGAAAATTTATTAGCTGAAAACAAGCTTCAGTTACCGTAAAGTGCATGTAATACTAAAGAGCAGGAAGAACTGTCAGGACGAATATGTTTCCTATTAATTAGGTTACCTTGCCTAACCACTTAGGCTACAGCAAAATATCTGCTTACGTTGGGTCATTATGTTTGCCTTTATTCTGTCATCCAGGATGTAAGCAGAAATCACAATGAATTTGTAGAAATCATATTTTTTTTCTATTTAATGTCACAGGCTTGTGTTCTGCATAGAATAATAGAAATGCTTGTCCTGTTCACCTACCTTATGAATAAAAATACAACCAATTATTTGAAACTAGGGAGGCTATTACAGGCAGTTGTCCTTCAGCATGTGCTGTGCCACTTACGATGGGAAGAGTATTGTGACAAGCATTTAATGAAGTTGAAGTAGTGACTCTGAAGATGGCCTTGTCTGTCATTGGCTGGAAAAGATATTCAGAATTGCTTGAGGCCTTAAAAGCAGTTAAGCCAGGCAGGACCTAGAGGAGGACTCTCTTTTTATGTGACTTTCAGAGTAATAAACTGATGACTCTGTAGGAGGGTCCCTTATTGCTAAATGTTCCATGAAAATTGCCAGCCATGAATGTGAAAATTCCAGTTAAGTAATTTTAAAATCCAAAGCCCTTTCTTAAGTAAAATATACCTGCTCACCCTTTTGGAATATTAATAATGTCATACTATCCTATAGACTTGGAACATACCACTTGGATTTGCTTCTGGTAAGGCTATCTATGTTCAGTCAGACATCCTTAAAAAAAGGATACTGTCTTTAGGTTAAATTTATCCAGTGCAAATGTCTGTGCATAACTTAAGCCCTACGTTAAGGATTTAAATTCCAAATCCAGAGCATGATAGTTCCTTCCAAAAAGTGATTTGACCTTGACGGAACTGTTCACGTGCTCAAATTGTTCATGAGCATATGTGTTTTGCTGTACTTATCTTTCGGTGGGGCTTAATTAGCTTCTATAAGTTGGGGAGGCCTTTTCAGATGAGAATGTCACCCTTTTAGAAGAAGGATGGATTAATTCAAGGTAGCATCCCCACTGTAATTTAAAACGAAAATGGCTTTATAGAAAAGGCATTGTCTAAAGCCCATTTCTATATAACTATGAAAATACAAATACCTGATTAATGATTGACTGATTGATTGATTTATGGCAGTGGGCGGCCCCAAGCTTCAGTGTGGAGGACAGAGGATTTTCACCTACCCATCAGTCTGGGTCATGGCACGCTCAGCAAACTCCCTCCCAGAGCCAAGAAACCAGAATCTATTCCCAAACCCAGGTATTCTGGCTGTCAGCTGACCAGTCTTGAATTGTTATGTATAATGCATACTTAAATTTGTACCCAGGAGACTTCTGCAGGTGTTTGAATCAAAAGTAATAAACCTTACTAGAAGATCTATTTTTAAAGTGCACATTTTAATTTGCTGAACC